CGTCATGCTTGAAGCTCCTTTGAAGCGAGTCTCCATGTTCGAGTCCGAATTTGGAAATTTGACATTAGACAGGAATCGTAGCCAGCTAAAATAGCTTTATAATGCCGCCGGAACCAGTTGATTTGGAGTCCAGATGAGAAAGTTATGCTCGACTTCGTGGACACTACCGAAGATGTTGAGGGATCCTCTCTTCTAATTTGATTTTATTTTCCTAATTGCAACTCTTTTCTTACTCTTTGATCATTTTTGCTTCATGGACAACTAATTATCAATTTGTACCTATAAGATACTAAATCCACAAATTAAAACAGAAATATAAATTAATCCATAAAAAAATCCACGTAAACGTAAACGTTGAGTGTTATTTCTACACTCCACTGTATCTTTTGTGTTTAGTGTTTTTGCTATTGTTTGGTTATGCGTATTAAAGTCCTAGTGTTGTATTTCTTGTTTTTAAGAACGTTGTTGCGAATGTACTTTTGCGCATATTTTTTTACATGTACGTTTGTGCAAGTCCATTTGAGCGAGTGTGTTTGATGCAAATGGAACCATAAGAGACGAAGTCCACCAAGAGCCACTAAGCTTGCCAAGCGGACCAATCACAAGGCTTAGAGCCAAGCGTTTCAAGGAAGCATTATATGGGCTGATTCAAGAAGAAGTTGAGATGGCAAATAATTGGAGGCCCAACATGAGTTCAAATCCATGTACAAGCCCATTCACAATTCAAATGGACCCAAATCAGATTGAAGGGAAGTCAATCACAAAGATATCAGTTATGGAAGGGTCTGATTGAAGTAATCACGTTTTCAAGGCTTTGGAGAGTCTTTCACTTGTGCAATTTCAGCCTTATAATATCAATATTCTGATTTAGATGTTTCCTTAATTTAGAATCAATAATTGTCAATTAGATTGGCTGATTTGTGGCTAATTTGATTAGATAGATAATAATTCCTTGTTCTTAGTTTATTTCCATAGATTAGAGAATATTGAACCCTATATAAAGGGGGCTAAGTTGTATGTTTCAGCAATCAATTCAGAAATCATTTTGTGAGGCAATAGTATTCTTCTTTCTATCTTGAAAGAGCTTTTGAACTTATCAAGTTATCTTGTGGCGTTCAAACAATCAGACTTATCATCAAGATTCTTGAATCCATCTTGAACTCTTGGTGTGGCGTCTTCGTATCCATTGTAATCTTGGTTCGTGATTTACTAATCATTGGGTCAAGGTTCGACAAACTTGTTTCTTTGGGGGGTCTTGGGGTTCCAAAACCATATATTGTTATTGGGTTTCGTCACATGTTGACGTAGTTCATATCAACTTTCTCATCCGGACTCCAATTCAAAGGCAAGTTTCAATTTATCTTGTAATTTCGTATTTTTTGTGCTCAAAGAAAGCAAAAAAAAAAAAGAAGAAAAAAAAAAAGAAGAAAAAAAAAAAAGAAAAAAAAAAAAAAAAAAAAAAAAAAGAAAAAGAAAGGAAAGAAAATATCTGCGTAATCTTCAATATGGTATCTTTATTCTTGTGCTCCTAGATTTCCATATTCTTTAGCATTTATCTCTATAGAGATTACTTGCATCTCTTAGGACTTTAATTCTTGATTCTTGTGATTTGTTTGATTGATTCTCACTTTGAATTGCTATTTGATTCTCGATTGTTCTTGAGTTCAATTAAGAGTGAAAAGAAGATACAACGAGTGGAAAAAGGCAGAGTGGTGAGAATATAAGAGGGTAAAAGCCGATTGAGTGTTAAACACGAGTGTGAGTGACATCATATTGAGGGAAACACGTGAGGGAGTGTTTGTGAGGTTTTTAATAATATCTTGCAGATCTCGTAACATGTCACAAAACGGAGGAGATAATTCAACTGAAGAGGGGCAACAACCAGGCATTTCAAAGTTCCAAATGCAAGCATTGGTGAGCGAGATGAGGCGGGTGATGAGAATGGAGATGGAGCAAATTCATGAAAGGATAGACAAATTGGAAGAGGAGACAACAAAGAGGCAGCCCCCGCCTAGGCGAGTGCAACCAAGGGCACAATGCGGTGATGCTGTAGATGAAGAAGAATTAGAGGAACTCGATGAACGTCCAATGAACGGAGGAAGGTTTGAACGTGGGTATAGAGGTGCTAACAATGGAAGAAGGCCTAGGCAAGATGACGATTTGGGAAGCATCAAGGTGACGATTCCGCCATTTCAAGGCCGAAACGACCCGGAGGCTTATCTAGAATGGGAGAAGAAGATAGAAATGGTCTTCGAATGTCATAACTACTCCGAAAACAAAAAGGTATAGTGTGCCCGCAAAAGTTATCACAATAGTATTGCATTTGGTGGGATCAATTGTTGAAGGAAAGGAGGAGAAATTACGAGCAACCTGTTGAAACATGGGATGAGATGAAGGCCATCATGAGGAAACGTTTCATTCCAAACTACTACCATAGAGAGTTGTTCAACAAGTTACAACGCCTAACTCAAGGATCGAGGAGCGTCGATGAGTACCACAAAGAGATGGAAGTTGCTATGATCCGAGCAAGTGTACAAGAAGATAGGGAAGCTACCATGGCTAGATTCTTACATGGCTTAAATCGTGAAATAGCAGATGTTGTGGAGATGCAACACTATGTGGAATTGACGGATATGGTGCACCAAGCTATCAAAGTCGAACAACAACTGAAGCGGAGGAATTTGGCTAGGAAGGGAACAGGTGCAATCACCTCAAATTCGTGGAAGGCAGCACCTAAACGGGATGAATGGCCATCAACCAAACCTAAATTCGAACCTTCTAAGGATGCCAAACCAGCGACAACATTCAAACAAGGTAACACTGAACCCTCCACTTCTAAGAATCGAGATATGAAATGTTTCAAGTGCCATGGCAGGGGAAACATAGCTAGTGAGTGTCCTAACAAAAAGGTTATGGTGATAAATGCCCAAGGGGAGATCGAATCGGAGGATGAAAAGGAAGACGAGGTAGATGAGCTGCCATCTTTTGGAGATACATACGAAGGGCAATATGCTGCAGAGGGTGAGTTATTAGTGGCAAGGCGAGCTCTTAGTGCACAAGGTAAAGAAGAAGAGAACAATCAACGAGAAAACTTATTTCATACTCGTTGTTTTGTAAATGGTAAGGTTTGCAGCGTTATTATTGATGGTGGGAGCTGCACTAATGTTGCAAGTACTGAATTAGTTGAGAAATTGGGTTTGCCTACCTTGAGGCATGCTCGACCATACCGACTTCAGTGGCTAAACAATAGTGGAGAAATCAAGGTGACAAAGCAAGTGTTAGTGGCATTCTCCATTGGCAAGTATGAGGATGAAGTGTTGTGCGATGTGGTGCCTATGCAAGCATGCCATGTCCTATTGGGGAGACCATGGCAGTACGACCGTCGAGCAACACATGACGGGTACACCAATAGGTACTCTTTCATCATTAAAAAGCAACCCATGACACTTGTACCGTTAAGTCCCAAGCAAGTTCTTGAAGATCAACTCAAGATACAAAAAAAGAGTGAGAAGTGTAAAGAAAAACAGAGAGATGGTGAGATTGAGAGAAAAGAAAATGAGAGAAGAGAGGAGAGAAGTGTAAAAACAAAAGAGAGTGATAAAAAAAATGAGAGCGAGCGAGGGGAAAAAATACAACTTCATTGCAAAAAAAAGTGAGATCAAGAGAGCTTTATTATCACAACAGCCCCTTATAGTACTTATGTACAAGGAGGCCCTTTTGAGTACTAACGAACTTGTCGGATTATTGCCGAGCAATGTTGTTTCACTTTTGCAGGAATTTGAAGATGTCTTTCCCGAGGAGGTACCACCAGGCTTACCACCAATTCGAGGAATTGAGCACCAAATTGACTTCGTACCAGGTGCAACAATTCCAAACCGACCAGCCTATCGAAGTAGTCCCGAGGAGACAAAGGAACTTCAACGGCAGGTTGATGAGCTACTCGAGAAAGGACATGTTAGGGAGAGTATGAGCCCTTGTGCAGTTCCGGTGTTGCTAGTACCTAAGAAGGATGGGACATGGAGGATGTGTGTTGATTGTCGAGCCATCAACAATATCACGGTAAAGTATCGTCATCCTATTCCTAGACTAGATGATATGTTAGATGAATTGCATGGGTCTTGCGTGTTCTCTAAAATTGATCTTAAGAGTGGTTATCATCAAATTAGAATGAAAGAAGGTGATGAGTGGAAACTGCATTTAAACAAATCTAGGTAGGCGGTTGGGGGGA